CAGTGGCACGTGCCACCACTCTTGTAGCTGGTCTGCTCACGCCACCACTGTTACGGGAAAGCAAAGTCAATACCCACCTTCTGCAAAGCACGGTCTACACCGCAGCAGCCGAATGCATTCTAATTGACACAGCGTTGGATTTGTTTCATTCTGTGAAACGGGCTCTTCCCCAGTTAGCAAGAGCCCGTCCCCAGGTGCATGAGTCGCCCCCGAGTCCTTCCAAACCCATGTCCCCGTCCGTGTTTCAACCGGGTTGGGTGGGCATCGGCTGTTTGAAATTAATCTCTAAGAAAGACCCTTGGCGCTTTGAGTTTTCAACACCCGAGCTCAAATCAACATCGTCTTGGGCGGCTCATGGCGTCCTGGCCTGTGCTCCTACCTCTTGTCCCCCCAAAAAAGTCACAGCGTCTTTCTGGAGAAACACCAGGGCAGGGTCAACGAGACCCCCGGGGAGGAACTGTGCGAGGGCGGGCGCGCAGGGGCAGGTGGCTGAGATCCGCTTCTTTGCTTCCATGGAGGTCAGGAACAGAGATGCTTTGGCGCCACTAGGTGACAAAGGTCCAGAGGAGTCACCCTCTGTCCCTGTGCACTCACAGGCTGCTCATCTGGGCCAAAGCAAGTGACTCTGCGCCCTGTGACTGAGCGGTGAGAAAGAGCCCCCAGCTCTGCGGGGACCCCCTCCTGCTCCCCTGGGGCGGCTCTGCTCTTGTCCACCTCGAGTCCCGACAGCCTCTGGGAGGCAGAGCCTCTGTCCTGAGCGCGCGTCTTGCTCCTTACGTCTCCCCCACGCGCCGCTCTCTGTGCAGGCTGTCGACTTTGGAATCCAGGCCAGGGTGCTGGGGACGGACTGCATCTCTGTTTCCTCACGGGAATCCTGCACATCCGTTCCTGAGTCACACTCTGCATTTCTTCCATGCCTCCTCTGGGCCACAGGGTCATTTTGCAGCAAAGCTATTGGCTGCACAAGGCCAGGGAGGGTTTGCACCCGGCCATCCCAGCAGCCGGCCCTCTGATGGGAAGGGGAAAGGGTGAACAGGAAGGCGGCCAGCCCGGGCTTGGCCCCGGGAGCAGAAACATCAGCCACCTGCTCAGCCGGGTGACCCGATCCACCCCAACGGCCCGGGGACGCAGCGCCTCGCAGGTGCAGGCGGGCTGGAGGATTGTTCTCAGCGGCTGGCGACTGTCATTGCGGCAGGAACAATTTGTCCTAAGACGCTACCTAAAGACCATCGTGGCTCCCGTGGCTGGTGTGGTGGATGGATGGATGGATGGTGTGGTGGATGGATGGGCAGATGGTGGCATGGGGACCAGGGCGAGTGGGCGGAGCGGGTGCTGGCCGAGCGCCACCCCCCTGTACCCCAGTCTCCCCTGCGTCTGTGACTTCAGCACACTGTGCTTGCCCCTCGGTCTCCCACGCTAGAACAGAAGGTCTTCGAGGGCAGGAAATCTTGGTTTGTTCCCTGATGCATCTCATGAATCTGATGGCACCTGGTACACAGAAATGGTCAGCAGATATTTGTCATGTGGATGGATGGATGGATGGATGGATGCATGGGTGGACAGATGGATTTTCCTAGGGATGCTTTTAACAATTTTCTTACTATATTTCTTTTACTGTTTCCTGCTGCTTTTCAAAGTGGGAGGGCCCACTCCCAAGCCACCTGTGCAGTCCGGCTTTGCGGGTAAGAAGAGTCAGGCTTCCTTTCCACCCCCGCCTGCTGGCTGCCTGTGCATGCCTCAGTTTCCTTTGCTAATGGGATCACCGAGACATGCTTCATTAACACCTGTCCCCTGGTGTTCCCTGCTGGGTACCTTCTCCCCTCCTTTGAGCACCCATGTTACCTTGCGTCTCTCTTAAGAACGCTTCCCGTTGTCTCTCGTCTTCTACCTGTTCTTACACGAGCAGTTTTTCCCTTGAGAGGAGGCTGCTTCTGACCCGGTGCTTTTGCAAAGATGCATTCATAGGCCGGGCGCGGTCGCTCATGCCTGTAATCCTAGCACTCTGGGAGGCCGAGGAGGGAGGATCGCTCAAG